TATATATATATATATAATTTATTGACGATCAGAGTCTGAGTGATGTTATATTTTGAATAATATAAAAAATTGCGGTATTCTCTACCATCAGTCGGTGCATCTGTTCCTCTTGACACAGGTTAATTCAGTTCAAGACACATCCCATCTATAACATTCTATCTTTGTGAAGCGGGATTTTCTGCAGTTACAGTGACCAAAACAGAGCTATGGAGCAGACTGGACATCAGGAGCACACTTCGTCTGTCATTTTCTCCGATTACGCCTAGATGGGACGGCTTGTTGTTTTATTTTTATGCTGTTTGTATTTGATTTTATCATTTTACCTGATCGTATCAAGTTTGAGGTGGAGCGAATGAGCGAACTTCCTCCTGAACGGGGAGCGGGAATTGCACGGCGCTCCGCACCGTTCACATGCTCTGGTCCTTAGGAGAGGTGTCTTACCTAAAGTAGGCTAACTGTAGAGCCATTTGCACAAACGCATCTGGACTCAGCCGATGCTGCTTTGGCACATTTCTTCCAAAATGTGAAAATGCGATCACCTTTACATCTAAGTCCTGCACCATTCTGTGAAAACCAAAACAACGGAAGTTAGAAAATTATTATAAAACTTAATAGAACACAAACAAACCCTAGCAGTGTACGCACATGTTCATATTTTGCTTGGCTTTCTCAATGTCTCTCTTGATCTCGGGTGTGATGTTAAAGCGAAGCTTCTGAGGCATGGGCAGGGGGACCATAGGGGAGCGAACCATCTCAGGTCTCTGCCTGTTGAAGCATATAAAAACACCAGCTCAAGCTCGCTCGAACGGAAACAGGAGAAATTTGAAAACTCATTAGAAAAAAAAAAACGTACATGTATTTAACCACGTAATCGATGAGAAAGACGATGGGTGGACCTTCGGTGGGAGCATGTTCATAGACCAGTCCACATGTACCATCTTCACCCACAATGAACTGTTGATGATTTGCAAGAACATGGAAATTATGAGCTGCTTACCATCAGAGACATTGAATAATTTTTAGAAACTCACCTGCAGTGTTTTATCAAACCAGCGGTTGCCACTGTTCCACCGCGTCCCTCCTCCGTGGAGCATCTGGGCCGCCACGCGGCTCAGATACATCTCATCGGAAACTCTGAGCATCGGAGCGTCCAAACACACGGTAAAGATGCTCTGCTGGATAGCACGGACCGAATCCTTATTGGTCCTGTCTGAGGTTGCAAGAAACATTTTCTCTAAACATGCTTTTTAACAAAACATTCACCTAGAAAAGGGCTTTTTTCCTCCATCTCAGCTCACCCTTTATCAGGTTGTTGTAAGCTTTCCCCCAGGTGTTGCGGTGTTGTGACGTCAGGATGCCGATTGGTTCTTTATTAGTTTGTAAAGAAGAATTCCAGATCTTCTCCAGCTGCATGGTGATCTGATCTACTGTCAGCGGGGTGCCATCGCTGTTATAAACATCTAAAACAAAGAACTGGACCAGAAAAGATCAGTCAGTATAAATACAGGTCCAGATTCCATTCCAATTTTACCCCAAACTTTTCCTTTTGCAACTTTGGAAATTTGAAAAGTTAAAGACGATGCAGAGGTTTAGATTTAATACAACGTACCTGAAAGTTGTGAACCACGGTGATGTGACTAGGAGGTGTAGCACCTGCAGAGTAATGCACCACTGTATCTCTCTTCGGACCGGGGATACGACACGAGGACAGAATCTGGTAATACTGGTCCATGCATAAAGGCTTCCCATTCAAATACTGAACAGGCAGTGTTTCGCTGCAACACAGCAGATTTATTAATTAGCAGTTTTTAAGACCAAAACTATCTTTTTGTTATACAGAAGCTAATTTCCAGCAAACTCACGTGTCAACCATTCTTTTAAAGTCCAAAACCCCTGCAATGAGTTTGGCAGCAAACCTGCAGAGAGGAAATTTAACGGTAATCTTAACAGGAGCTGATACAGAATAAATACATAGTAATTATTGTTTAATAGATGCACTAAAAACTAAAGGTCTTTTTTTTAAATAACAAAAATTGTTGCCAAATATATCTTATATATGTTAGTGATCCTTTTTATTGTCTAGGAGATGATAAGCAAACTATGGCCTCCACATTCACTGCGCATCCTATGTGTCACCGCAGTTAAAAACAGCTGAGCCCTTAGCAGACTTTAAATAACCAGCATGAAGGGGGAAAGACTCAGCGAGGGTCGGATTTCAATTCCAACTTGTTTATACTGGAAGTACAATGTGGGCGTACAGGTTTCTCCAGTAGAGGTGTTAAACTTAAACTTAGAAAGTACTGAAGTTTAAAATTCAGAGCTGTGTCTGTAAAGAAAGTTTTTTTTTTCTCTTTTCTTTATTTTGACACTTGTTTAACAGAGAGTTTTTTCCAGGTCCTCACCGCATCTGGCCTTGTCGATCCTCAAAGTGCATTCGAGGCAAGGCGAGTCCGGTGCTGGTGTAGACGGCCAGGGGCATGCGACAGTCCAGATATGCTGTTTGCATCCACCACTCTGACAGCTAAACACATCAAAAATCAGACAGCATCAGGTGACATGTTTGAATGGACCACTCCAAAAAGGTTGACTGATGGAAGGATCCAAAATTATTCCTAGAAAACAACAATGGAATCAGTTTTCCACAAAGCATGAAAGGGAACGCAGGAAATATCTGAAGGATGCTCTGTAGAGTGAGAGTGGAATGAAACGTTTTGGCCGACACAAAATGATGTGCATGGCTGAAAGCTACTAAGCGTATGGCCGAAAGGTACAAATCCCTTAGTGCAGCGTCTCTTCACTATAAAACATGTGGATGGCGTCTTAATGCTGTGAAGATGTTCCTTTTTTCAGCAGGGACAGAGACCCTGTGGGAGGAGCTAAAAGCAAGAAAAGCCTGAACAGAAAGCCTTGCAGAGTCTTGAGACCATTTAGTTTAATTCATGGGTGTTTTGTCATGCACCAAAATGGTCATGTAAAAAAAAATGCATATAACCATAAATGGTAAAAGCTTTTTTAACGTTCCCAACAATTAATTTAAAAAATGTCCCGCAAAGAATTAATAAAGGAATTCTGATTCTGATTAAGTACAGCACATTTCAGTTAAACATATAAAGTGGTCAGATTTTGTTGCTGATGTGAATAATTTTAGATCCAAACAAAGATTTATTAAACAAGATTCAGAGGAAGGTAGATTACCTCTAAATTTTACTAAAGTAACATTTTTTAGCCAAGTAAAAGCATAAAGTAATTAGTGAAGAAATTACTCAAGTACCAGTGATACTTGATACTGAATGGTTGTTGGGTCATAATTTCTGATTTAATGTTAATAATGTAATCAGACAGAGATAAGTAAGTAAATTATTGCATTTCAAAGTAATAAAATAAAGGGAAAAAATACAAATAAAATTTCATCACAAATTCAGATCGAAGAAACCTTTTTTTCTAAATCAATCTTTTCAATTTAAACTCATAAAACCAATCCTAACATCCTAAAGTTCTTTTTTTTATGTATATTTTCTCAATAAAAACTAACTAACTAAATGGAACTAGTTACTACCCACCTCTGGAAGGATTTAAAAAAAATATTGTTAACTACTGTCCTAATTAAAATCTAAAGTTTCTATTTGCATCAACCATAATTGCCAGAAGGACTGATTTGTGTTAGTTTCAAACAGCAGGTCCCAAATGGGCTGCAATTTGAAGACTTCTGGTTTAAACTGAAACATATTTGGCCTAGTCAAAGTCAAAGCCTTAATTAATTGAAAACGTGGCAAGAATTTACTTATTACAAGATTACCCAAAACCAAACTAACCTACCTTGAGTGAAAAAAAAACTGTGAAGGAGTTTCCTAATTTAATGTTTAATGGAGATAAATCCCGATATATGCAACAATTAATTTTTTTCTGATCCTACTGTTAAATGAATTAACCATACACCTTGCTGTTTGATTTAAGGCATCATGCTTGATAAAATCCTTTAATAAAAAGTTAACAAAATGAACAAAGATATAAATCATCTCTAGCTGCTTCGTGTGCTCAGCACCGTTTGTTAATCAATCGTAAAAGTCACCAGATCACTGATCCTGTATTGCTGTGTCGGACATCAATAAAAATTGAAAAGACTGGAGTGGAATGATGGATGGGTGTCAATCATCAGATATCTGATCCAACTAATTATCCAATATCAGAGCTGATTTGATCGGTGCATCTCTAGGAGACTTAAGGCTGTAATTGCACCAAAAGGTGGAGACCACTGGGTATAGAGTTCATATGAACAGACATCACAGTGTTTACTGATTCTTTTTTTTAAATAATAAAAACCCTGTATCATTTTCCTTCCACTTAAACGTTAGACGTTATATTGTTGTATTGCAAGGAAACTTAAAAAGGTTCAAAAGGTATGAATACTTTTGTGAGCCCCTGTAAGTGGGCTACAATGGGAGCATACTGTAAGTCACATATACTGTACCAACTAAATGAGGTGTTTTACTGACACTATATAAACATAAGCAAAGCCAAATATCTACCCAGTTATCCGTCTTCCTCGCACGTCTCTCCAGTTCCTTCTGGAGCCTTCCTCCGACGCCGCCCTTTAGGAAGTCCTGTATTAGCATCTGGGTGTGCTCCAGCTCTTCCTCGCTGACAATAGGCTCCAAAGCAGCCAGGTAGCGCTCGCATGTTTGCTTCAAAGGTGGAACGGGCAGCTTTGGCAAACCCTCCTGATGCACAAAGGTCCTTTCTGGTATCTGGGTTACCGTTCTGAGTAATCGGCATGGATTTGCAATGCCCGGACGCAGCTATAAGACAGGAAAGTTAAAAGACACTTTCACTCTATATTCAGTGAGAAACTGTCATAGATATCTAACTCCATTTGTACCAGTTAAGTAAAGTCTGACAGGCCCCAAAGATCTAAGGTGTCAACATGTTGGTGTGTGCATGCCTCCCTGCAAGAGTGTTAAACCAGAATTTGTGCTCGAATTTGTGAAACAGCTATTTTAATTATCCATAGAGATATAGTCTGGTGTGAGCTGACTGAATCTGTGAAAAATGACACCAAGACAACTAAGTGGAGCTGTTCCAGTGTTTGTTTGCAGCCCTGAGGTTATGCTCCTCCAGCCCATAAATAGAAAGTTGAAACTGCAGAACTGTGTGATGGTGCAAAAGCAAACAGGCTTGAAAGCACGAAATAGATCTGTGCCGCTTGTGTTAACATGTGAGTGCCATGTTCATAAAAGAAATGGTGCCATGTTGTAATTCAATTTGCTTTAAGTGAGTTACAAAATAAACCTTTGATTGACACCATTAAACCTAAAGATGAGAATCCAAATGTCTAACAGTGAAAATACAAACTGCTTGTAATGAAAGAATGCTTTTGCAAATATATTTTTTTTATTAAAAAAGGTTTTAAAGACAACATTTAAAAAAAAAATTACAAACACTCTTATTTGGCATCAATTAATGTCAATGACACCTCAAGACGCGGTGCAGTCCAGTTCATCAGGATATATTTGTAAACACAGCAGTCAAAAGAGATTTGACTCGAAAACATAAGCGTTTCTTTTCAGTTGAAAAAGGTCCAATCTTTTAGTCAGAGCAATAATTTGACCTCGTCGACGCCAGCCGACACATCGGCCATGATACTTAAAACTGTGAAAACAGGGCAAACAAGGAAGTAAGGAGGACAATGATTGTCTTCAGAAACAGGTTCCTGTTTGAGTTTTTGTATGTTTTTGTTTTTATTATTCATTCCCCACATATGAAATTAGAAAATCTTGAATTTGTCTTGCATTGTTTTAAATAGGTTCAGACGTAATGTCACTTATTCAACTTTCTCTTTCTTACTCCTGAGGAATATTGGTCCTAATATTTCCCTCTAGCTTCCAGTGAATGTGTTTGCATAGACTGTTCTGCAGATCATGCTCCATGGGGCTAACAAGTGGGATTGTGTTTATTGTTAGTCCCTCCCTCTGGCTAGGATTTTGGCAACTGCAGTGTGTTGCAGCAGTTCTACAGTAAGCATTACTGGGACTGGGATAATTATCTCTGTGGTTCAGATAAACTCAGGATGTGTTTTTTATAAAAACACCACTCGGATAGCTCAACAGTGATCTTTGATGACCTGGAATTTTCAGTTTGCTCTTGTCCTATTCCTAGTTTGTTTTGTTATAGCTGATTTTTTTCCTCAAATCCAAACAGCGGCATTTCTGTGGGCTTAAATGCTGATAGATTACAAAATAGTAAATAAGTTTAGATGAGGGATTTGATTAAAATATGCAAACAACCAATCAGATTTAAGTAGTTAACTTACAACTAAAATTTAAGAAGGATTAACTCAAACATTTAGGCCAGAAATAAACCATGGCTTTCAGCCATTGTTGGATAAAATATAATCAAATATAGTTTGACTGATTTTATTTGTTTATTTTTCTTTCCTCTAGCTGTTATATGATTACAGCTATAAATTAATAATAACAAAAACTGACGATTAAGTGGGTGTTACAATAAATTTTTCTCCATATTTATAAATATTTCACCTCTGTCAAGGTCGTGGGAATAAGACAGAACTTCCGGTTAAGATAGAACTTCCGGTTAACACTTTCAAAATAAAGTGCCTGTGACAGCTCTGAGTTCGGCAATGTTATTATCAGTTTTATTTGTTCAGACAAATGATGTAACCCACCGAATGTGGCCCCCCAACAAATGGGCTGTCTATCAAGAAAGCCAGGAGCTTTAAAAGTTGTTATAATTAGATTTTTAGCATCATACGCATCAAGCTAACGTTAAGTAATGCTATCGCAAACATGAAGCTAACGTTACGCAACGCCAGATGTTAAAATGACACTAGAATTAAAACTGACGGTCAGAATGTTCACACATTGGTGAACATTAAAAGGACAATTAAATCCTTTTGATTTTGACCTGTCACTGTCTTAATGTTGTCGTCCAGCGGGGCCCCACCCCCCTCCTCTCCTCCTCCACTCTCAGTCCCGTAAACAACAACAAAACCTCCCGCGGCTGCTTTAACAGAATAAATCCAAACACTCACCGCAGCTCTGACAAAAACCCCCAACATGGTGCCAGAAGATAGGCGCTGGAACAGCTGAGTGTCCGGGGAGTACAGATGGGTAACCCCTGGGCTGTCATAGCTCAAGGACAGACATATCGTCTATTATCAGCTGCCCGCCCCCCCTTGGCCCCACCGAGCAAAGACACCTTAAAACTCTCCTTTTTAAGGTGGAGTCTGGTGCGTGTGTTACAACAGCATCATCTAACAGGCCTCCATAACAACAGGAGTCATTTCATATTTCACTTGTATCAGTTATTTTTAAAGTAAGCACAACTTTATGGCATGACAGCATAAAATGTGGAGCATAAAATAAAAAATGAATAAAATAATAATAATAATAATAATAATAATAATAATAATAATAATAATAATAATAATAATAATGAAATATTATTGACATATAAATCAATATAAACCTGAGTCATTCTAGAGAGAGTGTTACCTATATTACTTATATGAATATTAGCATGATTGAAGAAAAACAAATTAAATCAGAAACAATTCTTAAGTTCAAACAGAATGTGTTCGACAGACAACAGAATGGTTCAAAATTAGTGGTATGTATTCATATTTACAATATTTACAACCAAATCATTCATGAAAGTTCATGAAGTCCAAGGTGTGTTCCTTTATACAAATAATGCAACCAGTTCCTAGTTGGGACGTAGAATGTGCTGTTTCCTTTGGTGTGTTTTATGGGTCTAGCTCGCCAGTCTGATCCACCAGACATTCCGAGTCCTGGAGACGGATTCTGGAACAAAATCCTAAAATGGAAACCTGGCCTGTATAAAACAGGCCTGATTGATCAATCTTCGGCATGGTCCATCAAAATACAATCTTAGAGACACAAATCTACAAAAAAGTATATCTTTAAATATATTGACCACTCATTTGCTTCACATCAGCCCCAATTAGCCAGGTGTATCCAAAATACATCTGTGCACTGATACACACATTAGTAAATAAACTGTGGGAAACAGAGAGACTAAAATAGATTGAAGAATGAGCTTTTAGATTCACATTTAGATACTATGGCACAGAGCTCATTAAAGACTCTTTAATGTGCAAAAATCAAGGGAATTTTAAAAGTATTAGGCCCACTATTAAAATATATATATATATATTTTTTCAATTATCAAGTGGAATTGTAAATTGTATTTAAATAATTATTCTCTGTTTAATGGATGATCTGAGACATTTCAAAGCTAGAAAAGAGATACGATATTTTTCCTTTATTGGGCCATTTACATTACAACAACACAGCAGTGAAATAATCCAGTTATTCTAAAATATTTTGTAATAAGTATAACTACAACCAATACTTCATCCTTAAAGTACCACCATTCTGAAAGCTCATAAGTGCTTGGAGTTTTATTAGCTTTTTTGAAGTATGAAACCCTGATAATGATTAATCCAAATGCCCTTTATAATTGGTTAAAGGATACATTTCAACAAAATAATATACAGTATAATTAATTTATCTGAAAAACTATCAAAGTAATACACAACCAGGAATGAAGGTCACAACAATAATTGGTTGTTGTTAAAAAATTGATAAAATGTATAGTTTTAAAGAAATAAAAAATTAATGTTATTGACATAAAAGTGTACAAAAATAAAATATTACACTTTGAATTTTCTTTTTGGTTATTCAGCATTAATAACCTATGTGCAACAATATGTGAATCTGTGCAGAGAACATAAACTAATGCATCATCTGGTTAGCTTGGAGCAGTGCTGATTTCGCACTATTGCAGCTGCTAAGGGGAAGGATCTGCAGTATTGCTCAACTATGCATTTAGTATGCATCAACCTTTCACTAAAGGAGCGTTTGAATTCTTCAACAGCGTCATGCAGTGGACAGATGGGCCATCCCAGGACGGACTCTGTCTCCCTGATCAGAATATTACAAATTTCCCCTCAGAGGCTGGTTTAACACAATATAGAAAATGGATTCCTAAGAACCTAAGAGGACAGTCACAAAATTCAATCTGGCTGTATCACACCCGCTTTGAAAAAAAATAGACTTTCAACAGCCCATTTTTCATAGTGTGTCAAAATCCTGATCAAAACATTATTATTATTAGTTTGCAGTGCTAATGGCAGTTATGTAGTCTGACAACATTAGATTCATTTTTGGTCACAATAATCATTTGTTTGCACCTCAAACAAACCTAAAATATTGCTCCAAGGCTAATTCTTTGATCTATGCAGGGCCGGTTATTGCATAGGTGGTGCCCTGGGAAAGCACCCCCTTGCTACTGCCTCACAAAAACAAACACAGTCTGTGTGGGGCAGAACCTCCACTTTTATTTTTATATTATTCATTTCTTCACATCTTACTAGTGTAGAATATGGTTTTAAATGAGAGCAATCCAAACAACCAAGTTCAGTGTAAAAAAAACAACAACACTGAAAGCTCCTTAACCTGATAATGTTTTTCTGCCATCCTTGGCAGTAATTCTTGCTATCAGGAATTTGAATGAACGACTGATGAATCATCAATATAATTCTGGAGGAATGATCTGGTAGGCTTGTAGGAATGATATCGATGGCGTAGGGCATCTTTTTTCTTTTCTCAGAGGATCGTTCTGGGATATATTTGTTCATATAGTGAGTGACCATGATTTTCAAGGTGCATTGTGTGAAATTTTGAGTCCACTACTTTTTTATCCACTAGACCTTCGGACATCATCTAAAAAAAAGGCGTACCCATCATATAGTGCCCTATATAGGGGTTAGGGTGGACGTTTGCACACCACCAATACAATCTGCTGGGTTTTCTGATGAACCAATCGTTCTATGATTTCATGGAAGTGGCTGTATATTCTTTGAATCAGCACTGTAAGAATACACATAACTGAAATTAGACATTTTGTCCAAGGTATATTTTTTCCCCAAATTATTTAAAAAACCTGATATTAGAGGGGAAATGAAACAAACTCTTGTGTTATTTTTGGTCAAAATTGTTAACTTATTTCGTATTACTGAACCATGAGCATTCCCTTAAACAAGATAAGTGAAGCCTGTGTTTCAGATATTGCTCTGGTTCTTTGAGGCCTCCTGAATGTGTTCTCAATTTACTTGTTAAGTTCATTTGATAGTCCAACGAGGTTCCCCACTGTTCCCAGTTTTCTCCATTTCTGGATAATTTTAGGGTATATTTCTGTGACTTTTTTCAAATTTCATTAGATAAAGGCTTTATGTGCTGCAGCTACACTTTAACCCATGTTTATCTTGCTTAGTACAAATGCAAAGTTCAGTGAATTGGAGACGGTAGATGGAAAAATTAAGAGAGATAGGATTTCCCCCCTTTTCTATCAAAATCCACCTTCCAAAAATTTGCAAAAACAAGAATTTGAATTAACTACATGAGAAAGCATTTGTTAAATATTATTATTAACTTTATTTATTTATCAAAAGAGGTCTTGATATAAATAATTTATTTACAGAATACCAGGCGTTAAGCTGGTGCATGATTTTGTACAAATCATCACTGGCCACATGATGGTGCTCTTCCAACATCTTTTTCACAGAAACAGTACTGACCAGTTTCCTCAGGAAATACAATCCACAGACAGACTCCAGTATGCTCTATTCTAAGCGGATCACAAGAAAACACACTTCATCTATAAGTGCAATAATGAGAGAAGTTGGCATGAAGAAAGTCAATGAGCCAAAGCCATTGGAGATGGATGTGATTGTTCTATCAAGTCACATTTCAGCAGTATTCTTTAATAACAGCGCACAGAGAGTGGGGATTGCAGTCGTGTCATGGTTTATTTGGAAACAACAAAGTAAAATCATACAATTAAAAAAACAAAAAAACATTACACAAATCAAAACGCTTCGATAGCTCTGGTCCAACCACTGCCTGCCAACAGTGTTTGCTTTAAACAAATTGTCTGAGAGCCGAATATCTGCTCAAGGTCCATCTGCTGCCAACTCACAAACTCAGATAGACCACCTGATCCCAGAACCGAGATCAGGTTGGAGATGTTGGAGCTTTCCAGCTGTTCAGAGTCCGACTGTAAATCACCATCATCCTCATCTTCGCTCCTCATCCTCTTGAACGGCACAGGCACCAAGTCCGGTAAATAAAACTCCGGGTCAACAATATAATAACTTGTGTCCATCTTTCGCTTCCCGGTGTAGCAATGCGCGCCCGCCTGCGGCTGTTTTGGCTGCGCGCAACAGTCTGAGTGGAAGTATCCGTTCGTCACAGTTGTCACCACATGCGTGTCTAAGTCCAGGACAGTCTTTTGGTTGGCTTGTGTGTTCGGGATGGGTAACTCCCAGGAAGATTTGTCCGCGCAGCTCCAGCAGGCTTCTGCAACCATGAGGTCAGAGTCACTTGGAACCATTGCGCACGCAGAGGCGTCTTGGCGCGCCAGCTCCGTCGGCTGTGCGCTTGGCTGGTGCGCTCCGCAGTGCCAAGTGTCCGACTCCACGCCTGTAAAGTTGCAGTAGAAGTCATCCGCCAACTCCGTGAAGCTGCTAGACAGTTCGAGGTACTCTTGTCTCCCACGGACCACCGCCGCATCCTCACACGGGGGTCTTCTCTGCGTCTGCAATGAGTTTTTGCTCATGTAAAACTGTCTGGCGTTTCTTAGGACGTAGGTTACGAGCAAGTTCTTGTGGAGCTTGATGCCTCCTCTCTGCGTCCTGGAGCTTTGGATTTTCCTCAAAGAAATGGAGATCAGGTTCTGTGCGTCAAATGCACACTCCATCCTAAACTGGGCAGCCCTTTTTTTTTCTGTTTCTCTCAGTTTCTCAAAGCGCTTGCTCTCTAACAGAAGAAATATTTATCTCGTTAGTTGAGATACCTACTATGCTCGTGTAGACTGTGTCCATAGCGCTCCATGTCTTCCCAGTAAGGGCATGGATTTTCAACTCTCATCTTTCCTTTGCCACGCCCTCACGCACACATTGTCCAATGGGAGGGAGGCGGTGCTTATGATATACCCAAATATCACTAGTGGCCTCATTGAAAATGCACGGAGGAGCAGGCATGCTGCATCTCACTAAATGTGCTCCGATCTCTGTAAATATTAATATCAGGAAAAAATGACTTTTTTATGAGTGGAAGCAAATGAAATAGAACACAGCAGAATAGTGTTAAACAACGGATTAGAATCACTAAGAACATGTTCAACAAAAAAACTAAATAAATCTAAAATTAAATTGTTAAAATATTTAATTATTATTATTTTTTTTTTATCATGAATGTTATTAATAAAAAGATATACTGAAGTCCAGAAACTGATGCCTGAACCAAACAGATCTGGGTTATTAGTCCCAACCCAATGGGTCAATTATGAAAAGATCCAGTCTTTGATGGTTTTAATGGCAGGATCCAGTAGATAAAGTTTTAACACCACAAATAGGTTA